GCGAGGAAATCCTTGAGCGATCTCTTCAAACTCGACAGTGCAACCAGCCAAGTTTCTGGCAGAAACGCTCACGACCAGGGAGCATCCAGTAGCCAAGGAAATGAACTCTGTAGGCAAAACCGTGAACTTTGATGGTAATGGTAATGGACTCTGTGGAAACAATTTAACAAAAAAGTTTTATTCTATAACATACAATAACATAGAAAAGATGTTGACATGGGTGTGCCTTGGAATAGGGATGAATAGGGGAAGATCTCTACCTTCCCTTTACCGGGGAGGCCTCCAACACCGTCCGAATCAAGCGACAGGCCGGATCCCGCCTTGACGTCCTCCCAACTGGCCCAACCTGGGCACGACCGGCCGCGCGCACCCCCGCGCGCGTCTCAGAAAGAGCGAGGTCTGGGCAGAAGAGTCGAGAGAGGTCTGGTCCTGGAATCTTGCCCTGGCCACTTCGTACCTGAAAATGAGTATATTTATCATTGTTTCTGTCAAACAAACAAACATACAAAAAGATCTTTAGTTACTCATCCCTACTCATTCCGGGTAGATGTTAGATAATCTAGATACTAGCTTCAGGCAGAGTCTCAGGATCTTGGATTCCCCTGAAGCGAGGTTCAAAACCACAACCCGCTCGGCTCGCCCAGCCTTTTACCGGATCCTTGGATCCCTTTTTCGTGCCTATAAGGAGCCATGGTCTTCAGACGGTCTACGGTTTGAGTAGTTGGAACATGTTGAAGGTAGTCACTCACTTTCAAGTGGTTTGCCTAGATCCCCGCTCCATCCGGCGGTTCGTCTTTTCTGTCGGCTGAACGTCTTGCCTAAGCCCGAGGACGCCAAGAAACGGGCCTGCCCATGTGCCAAAAGGTGTTTCAAAGCCTTTTCGGGGGGTTCGCATCATATCCAAGGACCCAGCTTTTCACTGCAACAAGTAGCAGTAGGAGCAGCCTCTTGAGAACCCACTGCACGTTCATCGATTCTTCGAGAGATCCTACATCTTGGAAACCAGAACCGCAGTGTTTACCAGGCACCCTTGCGGATGCCGCTTTCCCGCGCTTTCGCGGAGGCACCGCAGCTCCTGGCGCGGCTGCGGCGGCCAGTGTGAGCAGCAAGAAGAGATGTGAGGGATGATGTCTTAGAAGTAGTTGTGTAGGTATCCTGCAGGGTCCTGTGGTTTGCAGTTGGCCAAAAAACAACTCCTTAAAATCGGTCTAGACAAGATCCCAGATTTGGGACTGGCGTACTGGCGCGGACGGATTTTCCTGGATGTTATCTATATGATTATCTATGTGTCCTCGTGGAGGGCGGTTTGAGCAGGACGCGTATTTGGGGCGGACGAAGCCAAACCGGATTTGCACCAGTTGTCCCGGTGTTGATGGAAGAGTCCTCTCAAAACAACCTGGTAATTGATGTAGGACACCTTAGCGTATTTGTACACCGAAACCGAAACCGGACATTTACAAAAGTCAGTGCAGAAACATTCAACCCCTATGTAAACACCATGTTGACAGGTACATGTGCTATAGTCTAGTTTCGACAAGGCAAAAGTGCAAATGTAGGCGCATATATAATTTGTAGAAAGCTGCCATGTTGAAGGCTAGAAACGGCAAATCTCCATGCAAACGCGCATGAAAAGACTTACGTGTCTTCGTTCTACTTGGTGCAGCATGTTGCGAATAGGAATGGGGAGTGGAACAAGCTTCCAGCGAGGTCCAAACAGGGTCCCCACCTAATCGCTAATCAGTTACTTGTTTCCATACACTTAATCGCTTCGAACAATCAACCAAATTCCCCAGCGAACGTCCAATGCACAGTCTAAACCGGTGTGTTACTAAAGCACCGGTTAAACTGGTGTGTTGACCCGTTTTCATTCGCCCCATGCTTGGACCGTGTGTTTTTGGTGCATCTCCCACCATCACTCCATCTCTCCCCACCTTTCGTCCCCAAAGCACCTCGCTTGGAAGCTGCCGTCGCTTCGAAGCTGGCGTCGCGGAGCCCGGCTCGGCTGGCTCCGCTGGCGACGGTTCCGGGTCGAGCCCCGTCGGACCGCACCCCCGGTCGGTCGCTGTGTCCTTGAGAATCTCTTCGGTGGGTGGAAGGCCCGCGACCGAGCCAAACACCTGGCGCCGGCCGACAGGAGCAAGGTGAACCTTTGGAGCCGCCACAAAACAGCAAGAGCTGCTTAACGGGGTGGCATGGGTAGAGGATTCTGCTTATCTTGACCAGGGTTGCGGGCTCAAATGCCACACTTTGCTGGGCAGTCTTCTTTCAAGATGGAAAGAATGGAATTTGGTTTGACGATCTGGACTGTTGGGGTGTGTCCTTTGACCCATGCAAAAAGCAAATGAGCACGCAAAATGTGTTTGCTCCCTTCTACAAGACTTGGCAATCCTATTTTGCTTTGACACACCGTCTGAGGGAATCTTGATGGGAATTGGCAACATCACAGGCCATGGTATAGGAATGTATAGGACCAGTGTCATCACCGGATTCATTCATCCACTTTACTCAAAGCGTTCTGGTCGCTCGGGTGCCTCAAGCGTTCTGGTCGCGCGGTCTCGGGCCAAAGCTCTCAGTTTGGGCACAGCACCAGTCGGAAATGGGCTCCACAATGCAAGAGAAATGCATACATTGACCACTGAAGCCCCTCCAATCTCTGGGTATACCTTGGGTCTATCCTAATACCCGTAACAGTGGATGATGATGGTTAGCAAAGGCCTTGTTCAAAAATAGTACAGTAATAATTGTTTACTGACTGTTACAGGTAAGAACGGACAGACCCAAGGTAAATCCATCAATACACGGAGACTCTCTGGGTAAGTTCCCGGAAAGTTCACACCCGAGGTGCTGAATCACTTCGTCTCGAAAGGCCGAAGAAGGACACCTCGAGCCTCATGCTCCTGCAGTTGGCCAAACCACAGGTTCGCATACCGCCGCGGCTGCCTCGACCAAAGAGGCCAAACGGGGAGAAAGATGGAGAAAGGGGGATGGTCCAGATCTGGATGTTTGGGTCAACTCCCAAAGACAGGGGAGTTGACTGCATCGAAACAAAAACAATATTCCATTCCAACCTGCCATGCACACACCAGCGTCCGATCCAAATTCCACACGTCTCTCCGTGGACCATGGTGCAGGCGCCACTTGGCGCGCCTTTGGAAGTAATCCATGCAGAAGTCTGCCAGCTCGAAAATCACTTGGTGAAGCTCCCTGCCGAAAGGCCGACGGAAGAAAAGAACGCGGCCGACGAACCGCGGAAGACGCCGGGTTAGCCGACACGGCGTCTTATGGCGCAGCACGCAGGCGCTGGCGAGCCAATTGATCTGAAAAAAGACATTATACTTCCCTAAGAATCATTGAACCCTCCTACGGAGGGTTTTGACCCTGCATAGCAGGGGTTTGGACCCTCAAAACCTTCACCTTTGAGGGTCCTTGATTCTTAGGGTTGGAGCACAGTCATTCCAAGTGGTTAACATGTGAGTTGGACAAGTGCCATGTTGAACACATCTTGGCTTCTGATTCTCTTGGCCGGGAACCCAAGTCAGCTCTGAGCTCGTATCGACCACTGCAATAAGCTTCGTTCAGAACTTTTAACAAGTGATTCACGGCAACGTTGTAGAAAATGAATCCTCTATAGCATGCCCTTGATACAGAAACCCTCCGGGTTTGGGCCGCTCGTGCAAGCTACCTTTAGGGTCTGCCCTCCCAAGAAGCTACCATCGTTTCAAACGTTTCATGTAGAAGGCACCCAGTGACAATGGAACATGTCAGAGATTGGTCTTCCCAGAACAAACAACAAGAAGGGAGCGGCTAAGTGCGCAAGAATACGCAAAAGTGATGCGTATGCGCTCCAATTGAAAGCACACATCGTGAAAACCACTTGCATTTGCTGAGATACTCATTCCCGAAAGCCTTAAAAAAAGACTGCTTAAGCATGCAACTCCCTCACCCAGCCAGTCCACATGATTTGGAGACTAAAGTAGACTAAACGATGAAAGCGCCAAGCGCGCTTTTCGTGCCTGTGGTCAGGCTCAATGGTCGGTACCTGGCCTGCGCGCACGTCTGACGAGCCGGGCAACAGGGCGAGTCCAAACCGCTCGGCGACTTGGAGGCGACAAAAGTGGTCTTCCCAACCTCTTCCTCCTACTCTTCACCCGCATTGCCAAGTGCCAGTGGTTTTTGTCACGAGTTGCATGGAACACCGCACAGAACGTAGGCAAGTCCCCTGCCAGATGGCATTGAAGTGTAATAAAATGCACAACAGAATCCCCTGATAACGTGTTGCAACCTGTATGTGGTAGAGGGAAGTCATCAACATCCATCATCACTTAAATAATGTGGCACGATGGTCCGAACTGTTCAAACTAGTCTAATCAAGCATTCTATAAAGTTCGATCAATGTCGCTAGGTTTAGATCAATCAACCTTCAATTTGTTGCCCACACTCCTTTCATCTTCCCGCCGCGCCGTTGGCCAGGCTTTCCAAGCTCGGCCTCAGTTAGGAAGAGGCTCGCCCATCGCAGCGATGGATAGAAGACACCAGCTCATCCTGGAAGAGCCTCCCTCCAACCATCATGGAAGTGGATAATGGCCTATTAGTAGAGGAAAACCTGAGGAAAAGAGTCTTCTTTTCGGGTCCATGTTCCACTCCATGTCTGTTGGATGGAGGAAGATGTGCCAAGCTGTGCCCTTCGGAGCTCCAAGTCATACAGGATGTCTCCACTCTACCGCATCCTTCTTTTTCTGGACCCAATGCGCACACCAAATACACTCCATGTATCGAACTCGGGCCGAACTGCCCCAAACATGACATGCCAGTCCAACGGATTATCAGGCTTTTGACTTTTGCACCTGCCTGTGACCCTGGAGGCGTTTCCGGAAAAAGGACTGTCCCAAACACTCCATGGCTACCAGCACCCTCCAACAGATCACCAAGTGCCACTCTTAAGTCTCCAAAAGCCTCCAGATGTGTGTTTGAATATAACTATATAGTATATGTACACTGTTGGAGGGTGCTGGAGGGTGCTGGTATGGGAGATGTTGCATACATTGACCCCCTTTTCAAACACCCTTCACCTCATCGGGAGTCTAATATGCCCATCCCACCAGTCGTGTCGTCAGCTCGTCAGCTCATCCCCTTTTCTCAGCCAGCCAAGCGATAGGCTCTCGGGATGTTGCCTCGATTCGCATGGCTTGGCGAAGGGACCAAGGACCAAGCGGGTCGGTCAAGGGCACCGACAGGAAGGAACCAGTGTGAGGTCTGCCTTGGTCTTTGGAAACACAGGCCTAGTGCAAAGATCTATATATACATATACAGCAGCCAGCCCACGACTTGTTCAGCCAGTGCCTGTCATATCTGCTTTCCAGAATCTTGAGAGTTGGTGCCAGATTTGGGGACACAAACGTTCAAACTCTTGCAAAGGTACTGGGAGGTGCACCAAAAGCCTCTACCCAACGTACCCAAACACTGGACCTGACCTCTTCGCAGGGTCCATTGGATCCTCAAGATGCTTTCCATTGGTTTGGGTCGGGATGCAAACCGGCGCGCAAATCGGCGAGCAAGCACAAGTGAAGGAGGAGCCTCTCATGTGCCCGAACATTGCCTGCTACCTCGCTTGGTTCCTCAAGTGAAGGGTCTGACTTTTTGGCTTGTTAAGATCCCAAGATCAGAGAACTCTCCCCTTCTTCGGTCCCGACTTCTCTCACCTCTCAACCAGCTTGTTTCTGTGTCCAATCTCTTCAAATGGCCAGCATTGGATATGTCAAGATATTCCTAAGGCCATCCAAAGATGTCCGAGCCTTGAAAAATCCGGTCCTCTCCCCCCAAGAAAGCCCCCCCCCGTGCTCCACCCGCGGGCCCTGGGCCCTGGGCGTCTCTCGGAGCTGAGCATCGATAAGCGAAGTACTCCGCGGCGAAGGTCTCGAACTTCTCCAGCGAAATGAAGGCAGTGTCTTTGCGCTCGTCCACATCCACTTCCTCAGCAGTTCGGGTCTAAGAGTCTAAGGGGTCGGCCGATGTATGGCATGCTCCAATGTACGGCATGTGTCGAAGGATGGGACCATCGTTCCTCCCATTGGAAGCCGGATCCAATGCGAGGTTGAAATGCGGAGCCAGGTTTTGGTGCTTGGGCCCTCTCGACAATCTTGATAACAGATATAAATGATGACATCATATGACATCTTTACAACTGGGCAACTGGGTACTACCCACAAAAGGAACCGCGATTACAAGGTCTCCATCAATTCATCGAGATTCATCTTGCAAACACCGCCATTGGCCACATGTTCACTCCATTCCTCCCCACACTCGGACCACCCCAGACCACGAAACCACAGCATTCAGCTTGGCCGACTTTGGCCGACTCCGGAGGTCGACTCTGCACCCAGGGACCTTTCCGTTTTGGGGATGGGACGGGTAACGCCCCGAAGATCTGGATGGGAGCCGGCGGTGACGTGTGATCGGACGGTGACGCTGGATCTGGCCTCCCACATGCTGGAGGGCACATAGCAAACCAGCACAGCATCCACCTGACCCAAAGGAGACGGGCCGGAGACGGGATGAGAACATGTCGCTCCACAAAGCCTTGTCCAACCAACGACATGATCAAAGGATTCACCCCAGACGCACCCTCCAAAGAACAAAACACCCCAAAACACGTGGCCTTTCGTGCACGATTTCCATGATGGCCATCTATTTGAGGCACCCAAAAGACCCCCAAAACCCCGCGCCAGGCCTTGTCCTCCCGGCCCTTGGCCAGGGCTTCCCCATAGTTCGAGCGCAGCTGCTCCGTGCGCCAGTTGGGGAAGATCTCCCTCCAAAGCCTCCGGGTCTCGGTTCGGAACTCAGGACAAATTCCATCGCTTCGGGGTGAACGGTGCAGACGAACGGTGCGGCACAAAAATGCGCGTCGTCGCCCCATCGGGGTGGTTGGATGAAGTTCATGGGACTGGACCATGCCATGGGACTGGCAGCTACATGAGGCTACATGTCGACAGATCAAATGCCATGCTTGAAGATGGCATGCCAATGCATGCCACGCAATGCATGAAGGAATCCATCCGTCCGTCCGTCCGTCCATTCCGAAATATGGACTCCAAAAATGGACATGGAAGTGGAAAAGGACGCCTGAAAGGTCATGTTATGTCATGTTCCTTAACAACAAAGGTCCTATCCACTTCACTGTTGGTCTTGGGGTGTAGAAGAAGCACGTGAACATTGCCCGGTGCCTGTTGCTCACAGGCAGATCCTGCATAGGGCTGCGCTTTGAAAAGAAGACTCCGCCACCTGATGAAAGGTCCACAGGTCCAGAGGCAAGATACCGGAGCACGCAGCTTTCAATTGTAGTTCACACCTCTGTGGTGGAAAGAACATCTGCGATGATGGAACTAATTTACAAGCAAGTGCAGCAATTGGATTCCTCACATCTTTGTGGGTCTCACCCTGCTTCACTGGGTGTTTTCTGCGTTTTGCTCGCTCTTAAGAGGATGGGAGGTTGTCACTTACTCACATCAACTCACTCACACCAAATCATTCATTCGCTCAGTCACAGTCACACTCACACTCTTACTCTCACACTCACACTCACTCATCCGCTAGTATTTCTCTTCCTTCCGCTCTTGCCTCCACTTGTTAGTATATATGCAAAAGCCTTCACATGTGGGGTTATCCAGTCCTTAATAGTCCTTTAATGTCCTTTATATTTAAGAACCAGTTGGATCAGTTAGGGACTACCTCCTCACACCGACAGTGTCAGCATGCCTTTACTTCTCCTCTTTTGCGAAGCTGCTCGATGAAGCCGACCCATCGGAGAAAATACCCGACCCTTCGCCCTTCGACAACGACAAGCAAACAACTGCGAGTGACACAACAACAAAGCCGAGAGGCTTGGACTAACAACTAAGATAAAGACAATCCTCAAGAGGGTCAGAAGCCTGAAACAGAAACAATTATGTCTGAGTGTGTCTTAATAAAATCAAAGGCGCTATAATTAATAAAGATCCAATCGTCCTGGCAGAAACATCAAGAACCCCCTTTACACTGGTCACTTGAGCTCTAAAAAAGAAACTTTCTTACTCCACAAAACCCCAAGGAATCTCTCAAGCAACTCTTGAGGGGCGGAGGCAGGTGGCAACGCAGGTGGCAACGCAGGTGGCAAGTGTCTCAGGTCCGGCTGTCTCATGGTGGGATCCATCTCCGCAAATTGAACAGGTCATACTGGTAGAATCGTCTAGGCGCTGGTGCCGAAAAAATGAGAAATCCCGAGCTCGGGTCACCGATAGAGTCAGAGCCTTTTGAAGAGATCGAGACGGAGCCAGTCGAGTCCGAAAATCCACTGAGGAACAATCCACCCGATCGCTTTAGGAACATCTTCTTCCAATGAGTGTTTTTTCAGGGTCCATCTCCGCGGTAGGTTGACCTCCCTTCCAGTCTTTGCTGTTCGTTTCCGGTGGTCAACATGCGAGCTGGGTGCCATGCCACGGCCACTCAACTTCATGTTCACCCAAGGTACCAGCTCTTGCACCACAATCGATCTCCTCTGACCAAGTCGCCCTTGTAGCCACCTCTGGATAGGCGCAGCCCTCGGCGGCCTTTCACAATGGCATTGCAGCTGGGCAAATCAGTGTAGTGGTAGAGCACCTGAGGAGAACAGTGGGGTGTGCCACCAATGATGCCCTTGGGGAATCATGGAGAGGTCAGGTTGATACCATATACCTATACCAGCACCCGACTCTACAGGTCTCCTTTGAAGGCTTTTGGAGACTTTTTTCAGGCATAGGTGGTGACCTGTCAGGTTGGGTGCTAGTATTGATACGCTTGGAAGAATTCCAAATATGCATCACCCAACCAAAAAGGGCGCAAAAAAAAGGCATCTCAGACCGTCTTCACCGTCGGATGACCGATGACCCGAACTCGACCCCGGCCGAGTCGGAGGAGGACCATGTTGAGGGAAAGCAGTCGGTCTGATCGATACTAGGAAGCGCATGCGTCACATGATGTCTTAAATGCCTGTGATATGAGTGGTCTACCTTCTCGCATCTTCGTTTTAACATCTCTCTACAAGAAATGGGACACACGCAGGAGAGTAGGCAATTTCGTTGCAAAGGACTTTGGTCCGGACAAACTACCAACATTGAGCAGGACCGCTCTTTCCACCTTGGTTTTGATAAGAAGGCCCTCCAAAAGTGAGACAAACTGGGCAAAATCCCTGTGCTTCATCGTTTTGTGGTGCCTACCCTTCTTGACTACAAGTAGGCCACCAACTTGAGGATTTCTGAACGTCGTTTCTACATCCAATCCACCACAGCCTTCACCCCGCCCCCCGCACCCCGTCCGCAGGTCCGTCGAGTTCCTGCCCACAGGCGCCTGCGAGTTCCGGGGGCAGCGGTGGCCAATATCCTCCAAAGTCTTCTGGAAGAAGATCAATTCCTAGAGGGCACATCTTCTTGGGCTTGAAATCACAGCACCCAGATGCGATTTTGTGCGTGATTTGTTCCACAAGTCCGAGGTGGAACATCTCGCTAGCACCTACCGCCCAAGCCAGATGGGATCTTCCAAGAGTCCAGGATCGCTTGAATGTTCAGGGTCTATCTGCAGGAGTGTCGCGAGATGGACAAAAGTGACGTACTGGTGCAGACTGCTTTGTCGCTTAGGTGGACCGGCACGGCGACATGGCCGCAGCTGACCTGTGAGGCTTGTGAGGGGGGCCGCAGCTGCGTTCATGGCAGATCAAACAAATAGACTCAAATAGACTGTTTGTGTCTTAAACAGTATTTCTATTCACACTCCCATGGCCTGTCACTTAGAGGAAGGGCACTTAGTCTGATCATTTAGGCCAGAAGAGGTTGTTCTGCCTATGTCTCACGGGCGCTTCTCCGTCCGAGGATCCCAGCCACTGGCATCTTCCACGTCTGGAGCACCCAGACCTAAACCAACCACGGCCTCTTCGTACTGCCCCTCTGTTGAAGGCCTAAAAAAACGACGGAGGAGGAGGAGGACGATGGATGCGGCTTACTGTGGTTTGGGGTGGAGGACGATGGACGTGCAAGAACAACGAGCCTGCAGCCTCACGTCGGAACTCGTGTGTGTTTGGGCTGGTGATCTTCACCCAGAGCGCGGGCTTTGTTTCGGAACCTGGTTGATCCACACTACAGCCACAAAGACATGACTCGAATCTGCAAAATGGAGAAGACAAGTCTCTTCTAGGGCTCAAAGCACGGCTAAATGGGAAGATGATATCCCCTTCTGGGGGAGAAGATCCTGACTTTTGAGCAGATGCAAGTTCTTCTACATATGCCCGTCTGAAGGGCATTCGGAAACTCCTCTAACTCAGAGTCCACAGAGTCTTTAGTTCTCAGGTCCTTTCCCTGCACATCCACTCAGCTGAAGATGGGTCCAGAGCTCAGCAGCCAACTGGAAAGAACTATTAATTAGTAGTGGAAAAAACAATCCGGAATTCTGAGCATTTGACTCAAAGACTATTCCCAATCCCTTCTTCTCACTCCCTCAGAAAAATAACTTCCCTTCCCATCCATCCAGCCCAGCCCATCCATCGTCCAAGGCTCTTCATCTCACTTCCCAACCATCCAGCCCAGCCCATCGCGCCCAGCCCACCCAGGCTCGCCAGCACCGACGAGCGCCGCGGCTGCTCCGCCGCGCTCGGCGCCGCGAAGGCCGCGGCGGCGGCGGCCACAGCGGCCACAGCGGCGACGGCCACGCAGGGCCGTGGGCGCGCACGAAGGCGAAAGGCCGCCATTGGAGAGAAATGGAAGGGTTAGTGAGGGTGGGTGGGACTACAGTAGGTGGCGTGGGGGGTGGTGTTTCTCCTTGGAATTTTTGCTGGAATGCTTGGAACATGCGATGGATGTTTGCAGTCATGGGGTGGGGATGTAGGGCGATGGGGTGGGGATCAGTTCTGCAACACGAAAAAGAGACTTGATGTGGTCGGGGTTTTTCGTGGGGATGATGTTTTAATTGCAAATCTAAGACCGGCTTCGCTTCGGTCTCTTCCTAAGACCGGCTTGGCTTCGGTCTCTTCCTACATGGTCATTTCATCTTGATCCAACGACACCGCAGCGAGAAGAGCTTCGCGTGTAGGAACGATCCACGACAACGGATTCCGCGACACCACACGGATTCCGGGTGTACAGTCGAAGAATCCACCTGTACACTCGAACCCCGGTATTACAGATTACTCCACGGAAGGGGACTCACCTATATATAGGTAAAAATAGGAGCAAAACCACGTTCAGGAGAAGTCTCTGTGAGGTCCTTATTCGAGGGTTCTCTCGTTCAGGTGGCTCTTTGGGTCCCCTTTGATTGCCTCTTTCGGCGACAGCGGACCTCGTGACAGAGTTCTGAACGAGCCGGTGACCAGTGACAGTGTTCTTCTTGCATCCTCTGCTAAAAGGTGAGTCCATCCAGCAAGTCGGCCCATCCGAGTCACGACAAGATCGACAACGGCGGCACAACGGCACTATCCTTGGTGGATGCCCATACTGCTGATTCAATGGCTCCAAACGTAGGGTGCGGGTGCACACACTGGAAAAAAGAATAAGCAAACTACGATGTGGGTTCTGGGGTCGTATTTTTGGAGCCACGTCATGCCACATCCAAGTATACATTGAAACGCAGAAAAAGCTAACTTGTCTAAACAAACTAGGAAGACTTACATATTACCGAACAAGACTAGGTAGAAAAAAGCTCGTGAAACGGCGGCACGGCCTTTTTGCGTAAAATGCAATTGTCCATGCCAGCACGTTTGGTGTGCATTGGTCTATGATGACTTTTCGCCGCAGTTCCCTGTGGCTACCAGCGGTTGTGGTGGCCATAGGAACCACCATTGTGACCGCCCTGGTTGTAGCCACCTTGGTTGTAGCCACCGTGGTGGTAGCCACCATGGTTGTAGCCGCCTTGGTTGTAACCGCCACCACCATAGCTGAGCTTTACGGCTCTTTTAAATCCCAGCTTGCGACCATGCTTGAACTTTAGCTCTTTCGCCTTTGCCTTCACGGACTCAACAAAGTTTGGAGGATGTGGCCGGGAAAGAATTGCAATGGCTTTGTCAAATGCTTTCTGACGATCACTCACCCACAAACCATCCGGACTTGCAATGAACGCTTTCATCTCCTTCACTTCCCCCAAGCGTGGATGGTAGGGGTTGGCCAGCACTTGATAGGCCTTGGCTCTTGCTTCGGCCTTATTCATGATCCACAAACCATCTGGACTGCTCAGGTATTCTGTCCATTCATCAACTACATAGGAGGGTGGCTCCAACTGCAGGTGCTGTTGCTTCACCCTCTCCGCCCACGCAGGATCGCACACGAGGTTGCAGGCAAGTGCTGCGAGTACGAGCAACGAGGCGGAGGCCATGGGCTCTAGAATTGGGCAAAGAAGCGTCAAACTAGCTAAGATAGCTTGATTGGTCTTGGCTTTGAGATCAACTCTCTCGAACATGTCATGTTCACCAGGCCACGCTTTTCGCATGTCACCTGTCGACATGAAGGATCAAGCACTATCCTTGGTGGATGCCCATACTGCTGATTCAATGGCTCCAAACGTAGGGTGCGGGTGCACACACTGGAAAAAAAGAATAAGCAAACTACGATGTGGGTTCTGGGGTCGTATTTTTGGAGCCACGTCATGCCACATCCAAGTAGACATTGAAACGCAGAAAAAGCTAACTTGTCTAAACAAACTAGGAAGACTGACATATTACCGAACAAGACTAGGTAGAAAAAAGCTCGTGAAACGGCGGCACGGCCCTTTTTGCGTAAAATGCAATTGTCCATGCCAGCACGTTTGGTGTGCATTGGTCTATGATGACTTTTCGCCGCAGTTCCCTGTGGCTACCAGCGGTTGTGGTGGCCATAGGAACCACCATTGTAACCGCCCTGGTTGTAGCCACCGTGGTGGTAGCCACCCTGGTTGTAGCCACCATGGTTATAGCCGCCTTGGTTGTAGCCGCCACCACCATAGCTGAGACTTACGGCTTTGCTGAATGCCTGCTCCCGACCAAGACTGGAGAACTCGCCGGCCTTTGCCTTGACAGACTCAACGAAGTTTGGAGGATGCGGGCGTGCAAGAACCTCCATGGTCTTGTCAAATGCTCTCTGACGATCACTCAGCCACAAGCCATCAGGACTTGCAATGAAAGCTTTCATGGTCATGATCTCTTGCAGAAAGTTCGGAGGATGCGGCTTGGAAAGAACTGCAATGGCTTTGTCAAATGCTTGTCGACGATCACTCAGCCACAAACCATCCGGACTTGCAATGAACGCTTTCATCTCCTTCACTTCCCCCAAGCGTGGATGGTAGGGGTTGGCCAGCACTTGATAGGCCTTGGCTCTTGCTTCGGCCTTATTCATGATCCACAAACCATCTGGACTTCTCAGGTATTCTGTCCATTCATCAACTACATAGGAGGGTGGCTCCAACTGCAGGTGCTGTTGCTTCACCCTCTCCGCCCACGCAGGATCGCACACAAGGTTGCAAGCAAGTGCTGCGAGTACGAGCAACGAGGCGGAGGCCATGGGCTCTAGAATTGGGCAAAGAAGCGTCAAACTAGCTAAGATAGCTTGATTGGTCTTGGCTTTGAGATCAACTCTCTCGAACATGTCATCTTCACCAGGCCACGCTTTTCGCATGTCACCTGTCGACATGAAGGATCAAGTACATGCGACGCCGAACGGAAAGGCGAAAACAAGAACTCACGGCGCTGACACACTCTGCTTGGGGCAGCGCAAAAAGCCCTGCTGCTGCAAGAAAAAGATGCACAGCACCGTCCAATGATACCCTCCTGCCCGGGCGCAGGGCAATGCACAGTTGAACACGGTATCGTTGGCCTTACCCCGATGTTGAAGAGAAGATTCCTTTTGCCACCAAACACTAGCGCGTGATGCACACCATCAGATCATGCGTTCATGTCTGCTCATATCATGATTTCAGTTCTTCATCTACCCAGTTTTGTCTCTTCACGGGGTCTTTGAATTGGAGCCTCTTGTTTTTAAAGGCCGTCCGTGCCAAGGACATGTTGACCGATGGCCCCCTCTGGCTGTGGCTGGAATACCTGGCCCTAAACCCTATTAGTCTCTCCCTACACCTCCAGCCATATCCTCAGAAGGTGGGAACAGACCCCCCAAAACCACCCTCCGCAACCATCTTCTCAGGCTCAGGAGGCAGTTGGGGCATGGAGCCTTAAGGCAAAAAGAAAGGAACAAACGAACACGACGAATCCCCAACGGCCGCCGCCCTCGGCGGCTCCAAATCCGGGAGGATTGAGATCGTGCCGCCTCGCCCACCGCCTTGGGCAGGGCGTCGAGCCCGGGTTGGGAGCGCAGGAAAGGCGTCAATCGGCGACTGGCGGCGTGTGACCAAGAAAGAGCGCCCAAAGAAGACCAGCATCAAAAGGACAGATCCCCCGCATGTAACCTGTGTTTCAGGGGTTGTTTTAGACCAACACCTACAGGACAAGTGCATGTTCCTTCCCCATGTTCCTTCCCACATGTGCAGGCTTTCCTGCAGATGTGTCCCGTCAGAAACATCCTCCCTTCTTCGCTTGGATTCTCTTGACCTTCCAAAACCTAAAACTTGTTTGGTCACTCGGTCACCTCGGTCACCCCATCCCATTCGAACATCGGACCCGGGTCCCGCGGAGGGCGGGGGGGCCGGGTCCCGCGCTTGACGGTCTTCACCAATGGCAAGGCGTGGGGCTGCAAGCGTAGGAGCGGCCTTGGAAGGAGTCGAGCAGGGTCGGGACCAACCGGGAACGAGCAGGGTCGATGAGACTCGAGAAATAGATACACTCACTTGAGACTCGTGAAAGTGGATTTCGGATGATTTCGCTCTGAGCTTGAAAAACCCTGGATTTCCTCATAGATGTTTGGGGTTGAAAGCTCACTGCACCTGTACACATGCACGCGTCCGGGTCTCCCCGTGTCCGGGAGCTGCAACCGGTCCATCGTGGAACCGGATCCGGTGCCCCCGGTGAGCCATTCAGACCGCCCCTCTTCGTGTTTGGGTGCCCCGATGTTTTTGGTTCTCCCTCCTCAAACAATACAATATTGTATAATTCTATATATATATATAGATATTGTGAGACCGACCACAGGAATGGGACAAACCCAAAGGTCCAAAATCCAATCACTTTGTGGCGTCCGGACAGGTCGTGGATGGCGCCATGACACTTCGCCGCTTTGAGCGGGGCGACTGTGTGGTGAACCTTTCTGAACGGGTGGGGAGACCTTTCTGAGCGGGTCCGGCCGGCAAGACCTGAGAAGGTGTCCCGAACGACGTCATCGTTATCAAGCAAGACCTGAGAAGCCTCATGGATGCAATTCGAGCCCTGCATGGATGCAATTCAGGGAAGGTCCTTGGGGTTCCATTGGGCTAAAGAAAAACCCAGACACGACCCATGGGACTGCCATATATGCCGCCCCATTGACCCCCAAAACCACCCCAATGTAGGCATATATGGCATACATGGAGTGTCTGGGAAAAGAAAAGAAAACATGTCAGAACCCCACAATCTTGAGGCCACGGTGATGCCCTGGATGCACGTATAAGAGTGTCCGGACCCCCAGTCAGGTCACTTACAATACAGTAGTTCTTCCAAATCATGGGCCATTCACCAATATCCACAGCTTCGTACAGATTCATGTTGCACCAAGTTCTGTTCTGACAGGCGCACTGCTCACCTATCAACTTGTGCCTGTTTGTCCTCCGTCATAGGTCAATCTGTTTCCTGTGATGATGCCCGGCACTTCTTGAGATTCAGGAAGAATTGTTCGGGATCAAAGAACTGTCCAGCAACCGAAGTGTCAGTGTGCAATGGAAGTCTCGGATGACCGTTTTGACCTCTTTAATTAGAATTCCAAATTGGCCAAGCAATCAAAAGCTTTCATTGCGGAAACATTTACAGTAACAAAAGAGAAAACTATACTACAAATTAGCTATTAGGTTGGAGGTAGCAAATAACTATACTAGTAGCTAGATATACTTACTGTACATTAAAGAGAACACATCTGGAGGCGTTGGACGTTCGGATCCACATCCCGCGCGGGAAGCGATGCGAGACACGCGTCGAGCGACCCCAGTAGCACATCAATGATCCCACTGGTGGAGTCGCCATAGTAGATCATGAGTTCCTGCTTGAAAGGCTGGGAGGATCTATGTCTGACTTGACGACTCAAGTCTGGGAGGTCCTTTACTTTGGTGGTTCAAACCATGCTTTAAATGTTTTCTTCGGAGTTTTTGCGTTGGGATTCGCTGCGGGGGAGTTTTTCAACTCGGAGGGTGACCTTTGATATGGAGCCCAACAACGGCTGCACCAAGGGCGGTACTGCATCGGCTCAAAGAAAGAGCCTGCTTCATGTGGCTTAAACGAAAACCTTCAAATGCTTCAAGTGATGCCGAGGTTCCAAGTAAGACCAAGGTTTGGACCTACAAAAACTCCCATCTCGGGAGCATCAAGATCGTCAAATGCGACACAGGATCATCAACTTTTTTGAAGGACTTCTAGCACATTAAGCCTCATTCTGGCATCTCCCAAGTGCCGGTATTCTATAGTGCTTGTTCTGCTATGTAATTTGAATTATTTCCTTGGTTAGTTATCTTTTCCAAGTATAAAGTCAATCAAAGGGAAAAGAAATAAGGTTCTTTGTATGTTAGCTCTTTTGACCTTAACTGATTCTTCAATCCAATTCTACCTCCTTTATATAATCTAGCTGGAACTGAATTCTCTGCTCAAAGGTTAGTCATTCACCTCCTTCATTCAACCGACCCTCCCTCAAAAAGATAAAACACGGGGCTCGTTTCAGGGCCTGTTTGCTGTGGATGTTGGCAAAGTTGAAGGCCAAAATCCTGGATGTCGATGCCAGAAGATGCCGAGTCAGTGGAAGACCCGAGTTTGGAGAAAAGTAGAGGCCATATAATCGAGACAAACAACTTTTTGGAGGCCTAAAGTGACGTCTGTTTGTCGCAACAAGTATATACTTGGACAGTGCACTGAAAGGTGCTTCAGCAGTCCTGGGCTTTGTCAGGGCTGGGGGTGTTCTCTGAGGTGTCCAGTGCACGAGAAAACCAAGAAAAAAAGCCGGGCCTGACGCCCTGCTGCATGGAACTGTGGGGTTCCAGGGCACTGAATCGGTCGGGATGCGCCAGCAAGCAAGCGACGAAGTCCTTGACCTGGGAACAGGAGAGGGTCCTTTAGGGGCGAGGCTTTGGTGCATCACCACTTACTGTATATCCACTTATTGACAGGGTGACGTGGGGAAGTTGTAGGTTCCTCTATATAATTCAACAAATCCTTTGAATGTTTTGAGGTCACGTTGGCCAGTAATTGACATGCCAAGTTATGTCCAAAAGGATGAGCACAAATATGTTTATTACATCTAAAAATCTAAGACAAAATGATACAATACAAAATGGTAAAAAGTCGCTGAGCATACGTACCTTGGAACTGATTACGGAGCCTGTTTTGGGGGGGTTGAGGAAGTCCAAGTTCCACTTGTAGAAAACTTGCTGTACTTGCTGCCTCCATGTAGCTTTCGGGCACCTTAAAGGTTGCATCTCCTGGTTCCGTTTCGGGGCGTAGACTCTCGCATGGTACGTGACTCACAAGTCTCCAGGTCGTACACCCAGGTGGCATGGAGATCCACATAAAGCCTGATGGCATGGGACCCGACTGGAAGACGTTCGCTTCTTCCACGTTCACCATGTGGTTTTCAGGTTCCATGTGGGTCTCTCGTTCACCAGGGCGGTAGGTAGATGCCCTCAAAGCTGTCCCTTCATAGTCCTGAATCGTCTTCGGTCCAAGAAGGACCGTCCGGGACCCGATGGTTTGGTGGTCACTGAACGGTCGGGACCCAATAGTTACTGATAGTTGGAGGTTTTTGAGGGGATTCCTTCACAGATCTTAGATCATCTTAGATCTATTTCTCTCTGGCTGAGATTGGAACCAAACCTCCGCCACGCTCTCGGCTTCGCCACGGCTTCGACGGGGCCCCGGACAGGGTCCGCCGGACCCCGTGGCTCGAGGCCAGGGGCAGGTCGACCCCTGAGATGGTGAAAGGGAGAAAATGGAGACTACTGGGAACAAAAAGTTACTAGTAACAAGGTCATCGCTGCTAGTAGCAAGAAACTACTAGTAACAAAGAGGTGAAATCCGGAGCTCGGCAGAGTGAGCTCCTGGGCCCCTGGAGATGGCTTTAGATGATGGGGATGATGGCTTTGGGTCCTTCACACCATGATGGGTGGTGAGAATGACCTTCATTTGGGATCATCACATGTCACATACCATCACATGGTCGTTTTCCCAGCAGTTCTATGGGTGTTTTCAACTGGATAATGGTGACCTACCTGTTTTTCAGGATCCATCTCATTGGAATTGGGCACTGCAAGGTGCCGAACCCTTTACAGGAGGGTACCGTGGCGCAAATGGAAAGGGACAATGCAGTTCGAATGTCCGGGTGCGCTCACTAGGTGGACGCTCACGGGTGCCCCTAGTAAAGCCCCCAAAAGTCCGCATTGTCATAACGGGTCGAAACTCCTGGTCGAAGTGCTGGCATTGGTACTCTGATTTACTATGGTTTACTATGGTTTGTAACTGCATTGTCATAAAATTACTATGACTTACTATGGTACGTATCATATAGTATCACATAGATCATCAAT